GATTTAGTAATAAACTAATTTATTTTTAATTTAATAATATAATTTTTATAAGGATAAAAATAAAGTATTCGGTTGAAACTCGATAATTATCCTAATTATATTTTAGATTTTTTATATTTAAAATGAAATGTTTATCTTGTATTTGATTATATTTATCTGTAGTTAGTTACATGAATTCAAACAAGAAGTTTTAATAAGTTGTACTTACACGTATATTTATTTGTAATCTTGAAATTTAAGTAATATGCATCAACAAACAGTACTTTATGCATAAAAAATGGTTTTTAAGAGTTTTTGTCAAATGCTTTAGGATAAAATGCACAAAATAACAATCTACTTTCATAAAAAAATTTATTATAGCATTGTACTTTCAAACTATTTTTTATTAGGTACAATTAAAAAATTGTTCAAGGTCATCCATAACCATAATATTTATTTTTACACGCCTATCTTCTCATATGATTTTGATAATAACACTTAACACAATATACTTTTATTTTATTTTAATATGATTCTTATTTTTAAAAATATAAATTATTATATTTTTAAAGTATTATTTATCAGTTATATTTTTATGAAACATGAAGAAGATGTTTAAATGGTTTTAAGGATCTGTAAAGTCAAAATTTGACTAAATGAATCATTAATTATGTTTTGCGTATGTACGAGAAGAGGATGGTTGGGACATATTTATTAGTTAGGAGTCATGGTACGTGACATTTTATTCTAGTGTAAAATTGTGTATGACCCATAATTTTATTTTATTAACCTGGATATCCAATCGACTATGCGAACCGATTAATCCCAAGATGACCATCTGTTTTGCGGGTAGTCCGGAGTCACCGCATTTGAATCTCCGTGACCACATGGGGAATTTTATTCCTCATCAGATTTGAACCCGAAGCCTCCAAGTACTTTTGACCTTTAGAGCTCAAGTTTAAACCAATAAGGCACCACCGTTGTGGTTTATGACCCTTAAATTTCAAATCGGGTTTAGACTACTTGTATACTTTAAAAAAAAATTGGTTCATGAAGACGGAATTTGGTAAAACATGAGGTTTTACATTGTTTTGGTGAGGGTGTGATTTAACAAATAAAAAAAAGTAAAGGGGTGTAAAATGTAAGTCCAGCAATCATACATGGAAATGTAACTGAAACATGAAGTCGATAAGTTCAACACGTATTGGTCCAAAGTGGGGTTCACATATATCGACAATCCGGTGGATCTGCATCGCTGTATTGGGTAATCATAATCAACGGCTGCCAATCGCATCTTCCAATCCCTTTGACTTTTATTATTATGTCCACATTTTTATAAAAAGGGCCCGTAGTGCGTTTGATATCACATTGGGTTCGCCGGCTCCTTTTACGTATATTTTGCCGCCTAACATTAATAATAATAATAATAATAATAATAATAATAATAATAATAATAATAATAATACACTTAAGTTATAAACTGATCAATTAATTACATGGGACAAATTGATCTCATCAGCTTGTGTATCATATCATGCAAATGATTTTGAAGCATGGTGGTTTTTTAAGTAGACTTTAAAACATTATGAAGATAGGATTCGTAATTAATTTATGCAACTTAATATTTTTTCAATAAATAAAAATATGATTCCAATTACAACATCAATCAAAAATTGTATGATAGTGTAAATCAAATAAAACAAACTATAATCTAATTACAACATCAATCAAGTATAATCTAATTATGTTAAAAGAGACAATAGATTGGAAAGAATAAAAACTATAAATTTTCATTAATCATAAGCTGTTTAAATAAGAACAATTACATAGAAAGAATGATAAGCATAGAAAAAAATTTACCCACAACCCTTTAAATGAAATGTTATTTCATGTTTCGTTTTATTCTTCATCTTACTCGATGCTAAATTTTAGGTTTTGTATGGATTGAAATCACGAATAGGATGGTATATACATTGAATGTTAATATGGTCTATTAAGGGCTGTTTATCTAAAAACTTACCCAGTAAAGCACGTACCGGTAAAATTCAACATTATCACTTATTTATCAGGTAAGATTTTAATCAACCAAAACGGTATCATATTCAACAATTTATTTGGTAAGTGCTAACCGTGGTAAGTTGTTTCCCTCACTAAGCAGATAAGACTCCAGATAAATTATTACATACGATACCCTTTTGATGGACTATAATCTTACCCGATATCAAGTTAAAGTGTTAACTCTCCAGGGTAAGGGTTTGGATGAACAACCCTAAAGTATCAACATACATTATTTAGGTAAAAAACTTCCCATATTATTTGCACATATTTTCATTCCACATAAACATCATCATCAAAAATATGACAACAATATTGAACAACAAATAATAATAATCGATCCTTAAAAATTATCAAACAACAAATAATAATAATCGATCCTTAAAAATTATCAAACAACAATAATAATCAACGATTCATCCCGATAGTGAAATTGACCGGGTTAATGTCAACACTACAATGATTCAACACCTGAGTTTCTTTTAACCATGCACATTCTTCTTTCCAGCACAAATATTGTTGCTCAACGGCTAGTAGATACCATGAAGCTCCAATAACCTGCACCGGCATCATAAAGAAACAAGATAATATATAACCAATTGGTATATATGAGAATAAGCAGAACCCCATCATATTACTCTCCAAAAGAGCTCTTAAGGAGAAAAAGAAGGTTCCAACATATATTTACGAGAAATGGTCCAAACCTAGCTGATGTGAGATTCTAACAATATACTTATTGATTCTCCGAAGAAGAGAAACATAACTGTATAAATTTTTTTACAAATGGTGGATGGTTGCTTACATGGCTAGCTAGCATATACAACATGAGATAGTAAGGTGGCCCCAGCTCAAGCAGTCTGAGCGATTACACCTGTGGTTTTTGTGATGCATTGATTCGGAGGAAAAATGATGAACAATTGTGGGATATACTGAATGATGATGATGATTATAGAAAGGGAATGGTTGGCATGAGCAGTCGAAGGATTTTGCACAGTTGGAATGATGAACCAGATGAAAATCTGCAACCAGGGAAGCAGGTTGTTTTTAACCAGGGAAGGTCATGCTCCTAAGGGAGAGAGAAGCTGTCTCCGGAGATAGGATCTTGTCTCTACCCCGAGGGAGAGAGAAGTTGTCTCCGTGGTCTTCCATTTCAACCTCAAAAACAAAAAAAATCGAACTCATGCTTAGTTAGTTGTCTCCATGGTCTTAAATATTTTTCAGTCTTCATTATCAAATTTGCAGAAAATGACTAATAGCCAACAATTTTATCAGATAACAAGTGTCATTTACACAAACACAAACAAAGGCTAGAAGGCTTACAGCCCATTAAATCCACAGATGAAAATATTCAAGTAACCAACTTTATCAATAGATGTAGTCCTAAAGAAGGCTCACATACCATTAAATCCACAGATGAAGTTGACATCAATGCATTTGAGATGCAACAAAGATGGAAGAGCTTGTTGATTAACATCATGACTTTCTTTGCTGCATAACCAATCTCATTATCTTTATGTGCATAAATGTCAATTCCCATGGACAAGGATAAAGAACGCTACCACAATAAAAAAACACCTTTGTATTTAATCACTT